ACCACTAACACGGCCATTGTAAACACCACCAACACGGCCATTGTGAACACCACCAACACGGCCATAGTGAACACCACCAACACGGCCATTGTGAACACCACCAACATGGCCATTGTTAACACCACCAACACGGCCATTGTGAACACCACCAACACGGCCATTGTGAACACCACCAACACGGCCATTGTGAACACCACCAACACGGCCATTGTGAACACCACCAACACGGCCATTGTGAACACCACCAACACGGCCATTGTGAACACCACCAACACGGCCATAGTGAACACCACCAACACGGCCATTGTGAACACCACCAACACGGCCATTGTGAACACCACCAACACGGCCATTGTGAACACCACCAACACGGCCATTGTGAACACCACCAACACGGCCATTGTGAACACCACCAACACGGCCATTGTGAACACCACCAACACAGCCATTGTAAACACCACCAACACGGCCGTAGTGAACACCACCAACACGGCCATTGTGATCACCACCAACACGGCCATTGTGAACACCACCAACACGGCCATTGTGAACACCACCAACACGGCCATAGTGAACACCACCAACACGGCCATAGTGAACACCACCAACACGGCCATTGTAAACACCACCAACACGGCCATTGTGATCACCACCAACACGGCCATTGTGAACACCACCAACACGGCCATTGTGAACACCACCAACACGGCTATTGTGAACACCACCAACACGGCCATTGTGATCACCACCAACACGGCCATAGTGAACACCACCAACACGGCCATTGTAAACACCACCAACACGGCCATTGTGATCACCACCAACACGGCCCTTGTGAACACCACCAACACGGCCAATGTAAACACCACCAACACGGCCATTGTGATCACCACCAACACGGCCATTGTGAACACCACCAACACGGCCATTGTAAACACCACCAACACGGCCATAGTGAACACCACCAACACGGCCATAGTGAACACCACCAACACGGCCATTGTGAACACCACCAACACGGCCATTGTGAACACCACCAACACGGCCATAGTGAACACCACCAACACGGCCATTGTGAACACCACCAACACGGCTATTGTGAACACCTCCAACACGGCCATTGTGATCACCACCAACACGGCCATAGTGAACACCACCAACACGGCCATAGTGAACACCACCAACACGGCCATTGTAAACACCACCAACACGGCCATTGTGATCACCACCAACACGGCCATTGTGAACACCACCAACACGGCCATTGTAAACACCACCAACACGGCCATAGTGAACACCACCAACACGGCCATAGTGAACACCACCAACACGGCCATTGTGAACACCACCAACACGGCCATTGTGAACACCACCAACACGGCCATTGTGAACACCACCAACACGGCCATTGTGAACACCACCAACACGGCTATTGTGAACACCACCAACACGGCCATTGTGATCACCACCAACACGGCCATAGTGAACACCACCAACACGGCCATAGTGAACACCACCAACACGGCCATTGTAAACACCACCAACACGGCCATTGTAAACACCACCAACACGGCCATAGTGAACACCACCAACACGGCCGTTGTGAACACCACCAACACGGCCATAGTGAACACCACCAACATGGCCATTGTAAACACCACCAACACGGCCATTGTGAACACCACCAACACGGCCATTGTAAACACCACCAACACGGCCATTGTGAACACCACCAACACGGCCATTGTGAACACCACCAACACCGCCGTTGTGAGAACCACCAACACGGCCATTGTGAACACCACCAACACGGCCATTGTGAACACCACCAACACAGCCATTGTGAACACCACCAACACGACCATTGTGAGCACCACCAACACGGCCATAGTGAACACCACCAACACCGCCGTTGTGAGAACCACCAACACGGCCATTGTGAACACCACCAACACGGCCATTGTAAACACCACCAACACGGCCATTGTGAACACCACCAACACGGCCATTGTGAACACCACCAACACGGCCATTGTGAACACCACCAACATGGCCATTGTGAACACCACCAACACCGCCGTTGTGAGAACCACCAACACGACCATTGTGAACACCACCAACACGGCCATTGTGAACAGCACCAACACGGCCATAGTGAACACCACCAACACGACCATTGTGAACACCACCAACACAACCATTGTGAACACCACCAACACGGCCATTGTGAACACCACCAACTCAGCCATTGTGAACACCACCAACACGGCCATTGTGAACACCACCAACACGGCCATTGTGAACACCACCATTGTGAACACCACCAACACAGCCATTGTAAACACCACCAACACGGCCATTGTGAACACCACCAACACGGCCATAGTGAACACCACCAACACGGCCATTGTGAACACCACCAACACGGCCATTGTGAACACCACCAACATGGCCATTGTGAACACCACCAACACCGCCGTTGTGAGAACCACCAACACGACCATTGTGAACACCACCAACACGGCCATTGTGAACAGCACCAACACGGCCATTGTGAACACCACCAACACAACCATTGTGAACACCACCAACACGGCCATTGTGAACACCACCAACACGGCCATTGTGAACACCACCATTGTGAACACCACCAACACAGCCATTGTAAACACCACCAACACGGCCATAGTGAACACCACCAACACGGCCATTGTGAACACCACCAACACGGCCATTGTGAACACCACCAACACGGCCATAGTGAACACCACCAACACGGCCATTGTGAACACCACCAACACGGCAATTGTGAGAACCACCAACACAACCATTGTGAACACCACCAACACGGCCATTGTGAACACCACCAACACGGCCATTGTGAACACCACCATTGTGAACACCACCAACACAGCCATTGTAAACACCACCAACACGGCCATAGTGAACACCACCAACACGGCCATTGTGAACACCACCAACACAGCCATAGTGAACACCACCAACACGGCCATAGTGAACACCACCAACACGGCCATTGTGAACACCACCAACACGGCCATTGTGAACACCACCAACACGGCCATTGTGAACACCACCATTGTGAACACCACCAACACAGCCATTGTAAACACCACCAACACGGCCATAGTGAACACCACCAACACGGCCATTGTGAACACCACCAACACAGCCATAGTGAACACCACCAACACGGCCATAGTGAACACCACCAACACGGCCATTGTGAACACCACCAACACGGCCATAGTGAACACCACCAACACGGCCATTGTGAACACCACCAACACGGCCATAGTGAACACCACCAACACGGCCATTGTGAACACCACCAACACGGCCATTGTGAACACCACCATCACGGCCATTGTGAACACCACCAACACGGCCATTGTGAACACCACCAACACGGCCATTGTGAACACCACCATTGTGAACACCACCAACACAGCCATTGTGAACACCACCAACACGGCCATAGTGAACACCACCAACACGGCCATAGTGAACACCACCAACACGGCCATTGTGAACACCACCATTGTGAACACCACCAACACGGCCATTGTGAACACCACCAACACGGCCATAGTGAACACCACCAACACGGCCATAGTGAACACCACCAACACGGCCATTGTGAACACCACCAACACGGCCATTGTGAACACCACCAACACGGCCATTGTGAACACCACCATTGTGAACACCACCAACACAGCCATTGTGAACACCACCAACACGGCCATAGTGAACACCACCAACACGGCCATAGTGAACACCACCAACACAGCCATTGTGAACACCACCAACACGGCCATTGTGAACACCACCAACACGGCCATAGTGAACACCACCAACACAGCCATTGTGAACACCACCAACACGACCATAGTGAACACCACCAACACGACCATTGTAAACACCACCAACACGGCCATTGTGAACACCACCATTGTGAACACCACCAACACAGCCATTGTGAACACCACCAACACGGCCATTGTGAACACCACCAACACGGCCATTGTGAACACCACCAACACGGCCATTGTGAACACCACCAACACGGCCATTGTGAACACCACCAACACAGCCATTGTGAACACCACCAACACGGCCATAGTGAACACCACCAACACGGCCATAGTGAACACCACCAACACAGCCATTGTGAACACCACCAACACGGCCATTGTGAACACCACCAACACGGCCATTGTGAACACCACCAACACGGCCATTGTGAACACCACCAACACGGCCATTGTGAACACCACCAACACGGCCATTGTGAACACCACCAACACGACCATTGTAAACACCACCAACACGGCCATTGTAAACACCACCAACACGGCCATTGTGAACACCACCAACACGGCCATAGTGAACACCACCAACACGGCCATAGTGAACACCACCAACACGGCCATAGTGAACACCACCAACACGGCCATTGTGAACACCACCAACACGGCCATTGTGAACACCACCAACACGGCCATAGTGAACACCACCAACACGGCCATTGTGAACACCACCATTGTGAACACCACCAACACAGCCATTGTGAACACCACCAACACGGCCATTGTGAACACCACCAACACGGCCATTGTGAACACCACCAACACGGCCATTGTGAACACCACCAACACGGCCATTGTGAACACCACCAACACGGCCATTGTGAACACCACCAACACGGCCATTGTGAACACCACCAACACGGCCATTGTGAACACCACCAACACAGCCGTTGTGAACACCACCAACACGGCCATTGTGAACACCACCAACACGGCCATTGTGAACACCACCAACACGGCCATTGTGAACACCACCAACACAACCATTGTGAACACCACCAACACGGCCATTGTGAACACCACCAACACGGCCATTGTGAACACCACCAACACGGCCATAGTGAACACCACCAACACGACCATTGTGAACCCCCCCACCCCCCTCAGCCTCTGCGTTCCGCGTCACGGTGAGCTACCGGGGCCGCCAGCTGCTGTGCTCCACGGTGACCAATAACAGCGGCTGCCTCATCACCAGCCACCCCGCCCGCGACCGCGAGCCGGCCAATGGCAGCGCAGCGCTCGAGGTCAGCCGCACCCACAGCTACGCGCGGCGGGTCGGGGGCTCGGCGTCGCCCGGCGACAGGACGCCGCCCTCCCGTGCGACGCCCACGACGGCCGATGGCCCCGCCCCTGACTTTGCGGTCCCCGCCGAGGACTCACCGTCGCCGCCTCCTTCGCCACTGCCGTTGTTGTCGCCGTCCAACGACTGCGCCGGTGGTGGTGGTGGCGGTGGTGGTGGTGGCGCCGGTGGTGGTGGTGGTGGCGGTGGTGGCGGTGGCGGCGGCGGTGGCGGTCCCACCACCGTGGCACTGCCGTCCGCGGCAGCGTTCCTGGACGCTCGGCACCGGCAAGCGGCGGCAAAGTTCCTGCCCACGGTGGCGCGCGGAGTGGAACTCTGCTTCCTCACTCGCCGGCAGTACAACAACAACAACAACAACGAACGCAACAGCAACAACAACAGCAGCCGCAGCAGCCGCAATGGGACAGAACGACGCCACCGCCTCCGCCCACTGCGCCGCCTTCGCAGCCACGACAGAAGAAATGCGGCGGACGCTGCGAGCGGCGGCGGTGGCGGTGGCGGTGCCGGTGCCGGTGCCGGTGCCGGTGCCGGGCTGTACGTGCGGAGGCTGTGCCGGGGCCGGGTGTTTACCGACGCGGGGCCGGCAGCGCCACGCAAGCTCGAGCGGGGGGAGGTGACGCTCGTCTTCAACCTGGATGGGTTCGCCCGCGGTGAGACGCGGGGGGTAGAGAGAGCGATTATTGTGCTCGGTGCACATCGCCACAATCACCGCTGTCACTACCACCACTACCGCCGCCACTACTACCACTATAACACTACCACTACTATTACTACTATTACTACCACTACCACTATAACACTACCACTACTACTACCACTATAACACCACTATCACTATAACACTACCACTACTACCACTACTATTACTACCACTACCACTATAACACTACCACTACTACCACTACTATTACTACCACTATAACACTACCACTACTACCACTACCACTATAACACTACCACTACCACTACTACCACTACTATTACTACCACTACTACTACTACCACTACCACTATAACACTACTACTACTACCACTACTACCACTACTACTATCACTACCACTATAACACTACTACTACTACCACTACTACCACTATAACACTACCACCACTACTACTACCACTATAACACCACTGTCACTACTATCACTACTACCACTACCACCACTATAACACCGCTGTCACTACTATCACTACTACCACCACCACTACTTCCACTACTACCACTATAACACCACTATCACTACTACCACTACTACTACCACTACCACCACCACTACCACCACTACCACCACTACCACTACTCCTACCACTTCTACTACCACTATAACACCGCTATCACTACTACCACTACTACTACCACAACCGCTACTACTACCACTACCACTATAACACCACTATCACTACTACCACTACTACCACCATTACCACCACTACCACCACTACCACCACTACCACTACCAATACTACCATCACCAGGACCACCAACGGCACCACCACCACAAACCAATCTGATTGGCCCACGGATAGAATATGTATTGTAATATTCGTCATGACAGTACTAGTACTATAGTACTAGTCATAGTAGTTATAGTACTAATACTATACTACTGGTACTATAGTACTAGTACTATAGTACTAGTACTAGTTATATAACTAGTACTATAGTACTACTATAACTACTATAAGTACTATAGTACTATAGTAGTTATAGTACTAGTACTATAGTACTATAACTACTATAGTACTAGTACTATAACTACTATAGTACTATATTTTTATAGTAGTTATAGTACTTTAGTACTATAACTACTATAGTACTATAGTAGTTATAGTACTATAGTACTATAAGTACTAGTACTATAACTACGATAGTACTAGTACTATAACTACTATAGTACTAGTACTATAGTACTATAAGTACTATAGTACTATAACTATTATAGTACTACATAGTACTATAGTACTATAGTAGTTATAGTACTATAGTACTATAACTACTATAGTACTATAGTACTAGTACTATAGTACTACTATAGTACTACAAGTACTATAGTAGTACTATATAGTACTACTAGTACTATAGTACTAGTAGTACTATATAGTACTATAGTAGTAAGGATGCCCACGTGTGCCCACAGATCTGCGCCGCTACCTGGAGGGCAGCAGCTGCCTGGCGCCTCCCACAGCGGTGCTGCTCTGCTTTGGGGAGGTCCCAGAAGCCAGCGGAGCTCACAAACAGCTCATCACTGCACGGGTATGGAGACACACAGAGAGAGAGAGACACACAGAGACACACACAGAGAGACACACACACAGAGAGACACACACAGAGAGAGACACACACAGAGAGAGACACACACAGAGAGACACCCACAGCGGTGCTGCTCTGCTTTGGGGAGATCCCAGATGGCAGTGGAGCTCACAAACAGCTCATCACTGCACGGGTATGGAGACACACACAGACACACAGAGACACACACACACAGAGACACACACAGAGACACACACACAGAGACACACAGAGAGACACACACAGAGAGACACCCACAGCGGTGCTGCTCTGCTTTGGGGAGATCCCAGAAGCCAGTGGAGCTCACAAACAGCTCATCACTGCACGGGTATGGAGAGACACAGAGAGAGACACACAGAGACACACACAGAGAGACACCCACAGAGACACACACAGAGAGACACACACAGAGAGACACCCACGGCGGTGCTGCTCTGCTTTGGGGAGATCCCAGAAGCCAGCGGAGCTCACAAACAGCTCATCACTGCACGGGTATAGAGACACAGGGAGAGACACACAGACACACACAGAGAGACACACACAGAGAGAGACACACACAGAGAGACACACACAGAGAGACACCCACAGCGGTGCTGCTCTGCTTTGGGGAGATCCCAGATGGCAGTGGAGCTCACAAACAACTCTTCACTGCACGGGTATGGAGAGACACACACAGACACACACAGAGAGACACACACAGAGAGACACCCACAGAGAGACACACACAGAGAGACACACACAGAGAGAGACACACACAGAGAGATACACAGAGAGACACACACAGAGAGACACCCACAGCGGTGCTGCTCTGCTTTGGGGAGATCCCAGAAGCCAGCGGAGCTCACAAACAACTCATCACTGCACGGGTATGGAGAGAGACACACACAGACACACACAGACACACACAGAGAGAGACACACACAGAGAGACACCCACAAAGAGACACACACAAAGAGACACACAGAGACACACACACAGAGACACACACAGAGACAACACAACAACCGCCATTCGCCACTAAGTGGCGGTGACGTCACCACGACGCTTGTGCCAGGCTATGTGCACCGTGAGGCCACGTGAAGTGTCGAACGCCCGCTGGCAGGAGGTCACGGGGCAGACCCAGGTGCCACGGGTCGACTGACTGAGATGACTGGCTGATGCACCACCTGTGCCCCCTACTGTGCCAACCTGCTGTGCTTTAGCCACCCGGTGCTCCGCTCGTTGTTGTGAGCGTCGCTCCTCCGCCCTCCGTTGTTGTTGGAGGGCGACTGCCTCCAACTGCCCAGTAGCATCCTTCACGAGCCTCCTCCACAGAGGCCGATCTTGACACCGCTGGTACCAGTCATCGGCAAGTCCACTCAGCTCCACGTCCTCCTGTACCACATCACTCCATCTCTTCTCTAGCCCGTGCCGCGCCCGCTTAGCCCCCTCAATCCGGCCAAACAAAAGCATGCGGTGGCTGGGCATGCGGGCTACATGACCCAGCCATCGCAGCCTTGCCTGCCGGAGGAGCTCACCGATGGGACCCTGCCCAGATCTTTCAAGGATTTGTGAGCTCCTCACACAATCCAGTCTGGTTAAACCCAGGATGGATCGTAGGCAGGCCAGCCTAAATGTTTCTAACCGGCGAAGATGTTCCATTAGGGGGGTCCACGTTTCGCAAGCGTAGAGAAGGGAGGGAATGACCGTGGCCGAGAAGACCTGAAGCTTAGTGCGGAGCGACAGACCAGGTAGCTTCCACACAGCGTTACGCAACCGATGAAAAGATATTGCCGCTCGACTGATTCGGAGTGAGACCTCTGCTGTTAAACTGGAGCCAGTCATAAGCACACTGCCCAGGTATGGGAAACTCTCCACTCTCTCCACAACTGCCCCATCACCGATTGGGAGTTGTGGGGGTGGAGTGTCCGATGGTACAAAATACCCAGGCAAGTGCTTAGTTTTGGTGGGGCTGATGGTAAGGCCCCACCTCTTAGTGGCACGCTCCAGTCTCAGCAGCAGTGTCTCCAACTCCTCCTCTGACTGAGCAGCTATTACCAAATCATCAGCATACATAACGTGGTTGAGCAATAGGGAGCCATCCCTTGACCGCACCCGGGCATCGATTAGCCTCCCATTATATCTGTACCATATGGAGATTCCCCCGGTACAGCTATTGAAGGCTTCACGAACTACGTGGTCAAAATAGATGTTAAATAATGTGGGAGCCAGAGGACATCCCTGTCGCACCCCAAGGTGTACAGGGAATGGCTCTGACTCCCGGCCACGTAGTTTTACCCGGGCCCGCTCACCATCATGAAGGTCCTTAATGATCGTGAGCAGAGGGTTAGGTACTCCAAAAGCACGAAGAACGACCCAGAGCCCAGGCCTACTGATGGTATCATAGGCCTTGACCAGGTCAATAAAGCAGAGATGTAGGTCTTGTTGGAATTCCCTACACCTCTGCTGTAGCAGACGGACAGAAAATATGGCATCTGTGCAGGACCGCCCTTTCCTGAAACCGCATTGGGGCTCCGCAAGCCTCTCCTCAGCGTGCCTGGCAAGGCGATGCTGAATAATCCTTGCCAGGACCTTTCCCGGCACACTGAGGAGTGAGATGCCCCTGTAGTTGTTACAGTCTGTGCGGTCCCCCTTCTTAAAAAGGGGGACCACCAGGGCATCCTTCCAATCCTGCGGAACCCGTCCAGTGGTCCAGACTGTTGTTATGATGTCATATAGGGCAGTCTGTGCACAAACGCCACCCTCCCTCAGCATTTTGCTTGGGAGATCATCTCTGCCCGCTGCCTTTCCTGGTCTCAGACTCCGGATCGCCTTCAATACTTCCTCAGCAGATGGCACCTCAGCCAGCCACTCACAGGGGGTGACTTCTTCCAATATTTGAGGCACCGCAGCCTCAGCAGGGTCATCCTCGCTTTGTGCCACGATGTTTTCCTGGCTGAAGGATTTTCCCTCCCCCAGGACCTCACAGAAATGCTCAGCAAATCTGCGAACCTGTTCCTGGGGGTCGGAGATTGGATCACCGTTTTTTCCCCTAATGATGGTAATAGGTGTGGTGCTGCAGGTTACTTTTTTGATGGAGTTAAATAGAGATTTGTGATCAGGGGCCACTGAGGCAGACTCCATCTCCTCAGCAACCCGCGACCACCACCCATCCTTGCAGCGCCTCACGGCTCTCCGAACCTCCGAGCGAAGGCTGCGGTAAGCCTCCTCATTCTCTGACGTGGGATTCTGTAGCCGATGACAGTGGGCCTATCGCTTTTTCTCAACCATCCTGAACACCTCCTCTGTCAGCCAGGGTCTCTGGGGAGGTCTGGACCGCGTACCCAAAGCAGCCATTGCAGCTGCATGAGTCACAGTCCTAAACCTCACCCATTTACCCTCGACATCAGGAGGAGTCGGGGACGATGCCAATCCCAGCCGCAAGCGATGATGAAATTCTCGCTTGCAACTTTCATCAGATAACTTAGACCAGGCCACTTTATGTTGGAATGGGGTCCTGGGTGTACACCCACCACCGGAGTGGAAGAATGGCAGGCGCATCTTACAGATGACTAGTCGATGGTCAGAGGGCAGATCAGCTCCACGGTAGGTCCAGGTGTCAAGGACATGGGCTCGCATTCGCTGGTCCGTCACTATGTAGTCCAGCAGATGTTCTTGCTTGGACCCGGCATGCATCCATGATGTTGTGTGGATGCGCCGATGCCGGAACAGCGTGTTGGTAATTACAAGCCCATGGGCTGCACAAAAATCTAGCAGCCTCCTACCGTTGTTATTGAGCTGATCTGGCCCATGCCCTCCAATCACTCCAGACCAGGTGCCAGTATCATGACCAACTCGGGCATTGAAGTCACCCAACATGATGACTCTATCCCGAGGGGCCACTTTAACCAGCACCTGTGACAGGAGGTCATAGAAGGCATCTGACTCATCGGCTTTGCCTGCATCCCTCCACGGATGTTCATCTTCGGTGGGGGCATAAGTAACCACGACCACCATTCCTCGCCTCCGGTTGATGGGAAGGCGAGCCCAAAGTAGCCTGGGGCTTACAGCTTCCCACACCTCACCGCCACGCTCCCACGCCCCCTTCATTCTTTTGTTCAAAAGAAGACCCACACCCTGTTGTTTGGCAGTCTGCTGCCCCGAGTAGAGGACTGTCCACCCCTCATGGTGGCAGGAGCCAGAGCCGGTCCACCGGACCTCCTGAATGCCGCATAGATCCAGGCGGTACCGGTCCAGCTCCCGACAGAGGAGTGGCAGCCTCTCCTCTGCAGTGAGCGTTCGAACATTCCACGTGGCCACCCGTAGTGGCTTTTCGTTGTTTCTGGAGTAGCCCCGAGGGTAGGTATTCAATCTCCTGGCTCCGCCAATTGGGGTTTGGCCAGGAGACGTCATATACGCCTGGCCCCCCGGGGCCTCCGGCACAGGCTTATTAGTTACATATTTCAGTTTAATTCGTGGTTTCGTGGTAATTAATTGAAGGTGGAGGGGTTACCAGCCCCTCGCACCCGTCCAGAGCCCCCGTTTAGCCCCTGTGGTGGACATATATGCCATGAGGGGAGGAGCCAATCAAAATTGGACCTCCCCCCACAGCACTGTCCACGACAGAGTTGCCCGTCCGGCACCGCGAGGAGGTAGGGGGTTGTTTTGCCGGACACAGAGACACACACACAGAGAGACACACACAGAGAGACACCCACAGAGAGACACCCACAGCGGTGCTGCTCTACTTTTGGGAGATCCCAGAAGCCAGCGGAGCTCACAAACAACTCATCACTGCACGGGTATGGAGAGACACACACAGACACACACAGAGAGACACACACACACAGAGACACACACAGAGAGAGACACACACACAGAGACACACACAGACACACACACACAGAGACACACAGAGACACACACAGAGACACAGAGAGAGAGAGAGACACGCACACAGAGACACACAGAGAGACACACACAGACACACACACACAGAGACACGCACAGAGAGACACACACAGAGAGACACACACAGAGAGACACACACAGAGAGACACAGATAGAGAGACACACAGAGAGACACACACAGAGAGACAGAGAGACACACACAGAGAGACACACAGAGAGACACACACAGACACACACAGAGACACACACAGAGAGACACACACAGAGAGACACCCACAGCGGTGCTGCTCTGCTTTGGGGAGATCCCAGATGGCAGTGGAGCTCACAAACAGCTCATCACTGCACGGGTATAGAGACACAGAGAGACACACACAGAGAGACACACACACACAGAGAGACACACACAGAGAGACACACACAGAGAGACACACAGAGAGACACACACAGAGAGACACCCACAGCGGTGCTGCTCTGCTTTGGGGAGATCCCAGAAGCCAGCGGAGCTCACAAACAGCTCATCACTGCACGGGTATGGAGAGAGACACACACAGACACACACAGAGAGAGACACACACAGAGAGACACCCACAAAGAGACACACACAGAGACACACAGAGACACACACACACAGAGACACACACAGAGACACACACACAGAGAGACACACACAGAGAGACACACACAGAGAGACACCCACAGCGGTGCTGCTCTGCTTTGGGGAGATCCCAGAAGCCAGCGGAGCTCACAAACAACTCATCACTGCACGGGTATGGAGAGACACACACAGACACACACAGAGAGACACACACACACAGAGACACACACAGAGACAGACACACACACAGAGACACACACAGACACACACACAGAGACACACAGAGAGAGAGACACACACACAGAGACACACAGAGAGAGACACACACAGACACACACACAGAGAGACACGCACAGAGAGACACACACAGAGAGACACACACAGAGAGACACACACAGAGAGACACACACAGACACACACACAGAGAGACACACACAGAGAGACAGAGAGACACACACAGAGAGACACACACAGAGAGACACCCACAGCGGTGCTGCTCTGCTTTGGGGAGATCCCAGATGGCAGCGGAGCTCACAAACAACTCATCACTGCACGGGTATGGAGAGAGACACACACAGACACACACAGAGAGACACACACACACACACAGAGACACACACAGAGACACACACAGACACACACACAGAGAGACACACACAGACACACACAGAGACACACACAGAGAGACACACACAGAGAGACACCCACAGCGGTGCTGCTCTGCTTTGGGGAGATCCCAGATGGCAGTGGAGCTCACAAACAGCTCATCACTGCACGGGTATGGAGAGAGACACATACAGAGAGACACACACACAGAGACACACACAGAGAGACACACAGAGAGAGACACACAGAGAGACACACACAGAGACACACACACAGAGAGATACACACAGAGAGACACACAGAGAGACAGAGAGAGACACACACAGAGACACACACAGAGACACACACAGAGAGAGGCACACAGAGAGAGACACACACAGACACACACAGACACACAGAGAGACACAGAGAGACACACACACACACAGAGACACACAGACACACACAGACACACACAGAGAGACACACAGAGAGAGAGACACACAGAGACACACACACAGAGAGACACACACACAGACACACACAGAGAGAGAGACACACAGAGAGACAGAGAGAGACACACAGAGAGACACACACAGAGAGAGACACACAGATAGACACACACAGAGAGAGAGACACACAGAGAGAGACACAACACGACTCTCAGTTGAACGAAAATGGTTCACCAAAGGCGAGTTACCCATCTCGGGAGAGGTTAGAATGGAGAAGAATTAAAGCCCCTGTGCACATAGAGCAGGTGGCAGGGGGCACCAGGAGGACACGCCCACTTCCCAGCATGCACAGAGAGAGACGGAGAGAGATAGTGAGGTAGAGAGATAGAGGCGCTGACTTAGAATGATGCTCACTTGCTCATTTACCCACCCACTTAGCTGCTCACCCACCCATTCACCCACGCGCCATCTGACCCACCCACTCACTTAGCCTCCCTCCATCTCCCCCCTCCACTGCAGATTGAGCCACTGCTGGCTGTGGAAAGTCTTCACCGGGTCCAGGATGTCCTGGCCAAGCGTCCACCGCCGCCGCCGTCGTCGCCGCCGCCGCCGCCGTCCGTGCCGCCGCCGCCGCCACCGGGACGTCACCAGGACGACCCCGGCAGCCTGGACACCATCATGAAGTTCCTCACCGACGACGACGGCAGCCTCCCCACGCATGCCCAGCCGCCCTTCTGCAGCGACGGCTTCTTCTACGATCCCATTGGCCCAGGGATAGCCGTGTGACCGACCGAAATTTCCCGCCGCCTATTTCCCGCGATCCCATTGGTCCAGAGACAGCCGCATACCGACGTATGCCTTGTCGAGTGATCCGATTGGTCGCCCTGGGACGGGGGCGGGGGGGCGCTGGGGTAGGGGTGGCCGGATGTGGCAGTGGACAAACACCACCCGTACTGCGCTGGATTGGCTCAGGTGTGGCAGTGGAAAAAGACCGCCCGTACTGCGCTGGCTTGGCTCAGGTGCGGCAGTGGACAAACACCACCCGTACTGCGCTGGCTTGGCTCAGGTGCGCAGTGGAAAAAGACCGCCCGTACTGCGCTGGCTTGGCTCAGGTGCGGCAGTGGAAAAAGACCGCCCGTACTGCGCTGGCTTGGCTCAGGTGCGGCATTGGAAATGAAACGAATGCTGTATGTGTGTTCATTTGAGTGTATTGTAACAATGTGACCGGTATTCCGTAAGAATGTAACCATATATAGTTCATAAATAAATATCTACTGGCATTTCACGTAGCACTTTTGAGTTAGAGGCATCGTAATTAAAATAAGGGTTTAAGTTGAAGCTGGAGGAGTTCATTTTTGCTGTTGTTAGTCGTTTAATCTGCACGCTCTCTGCATTCCAAAGGTCTTAAACAACTCGACAGGCCGAGGTTAGAGCATTGCCTCTGTCCCTGCGTCTGTGTCTGGGTGTGTCTGAGGGTGTCTGAGTGTGTCTGTGTGTGTCTGTGTGTGTCCGTGTGTGTCTGGGTGTGTCTGTGTGTGTCTGGGTGTGTCTGTCTGTGTCTGTGTGTGTCTGTGTGTGTCTGAGTGTGTCTGTGTGTGTCTGTGTGTGTCTGTGTCTGTCTGTGTCTGTGTGTGTCTGTGTGTGTGTGTCTGTGTGTGTCTGTGTGTGTCTGTCTGTGTGTGTCTGGGTGTGTCTGGGTGTGTCTGTCTGTGTCTGTGTGTGTCTGTGTGTGTCTGGGTGTGTCTGTGTGTGTATGTGTGTGTCTGTGTGTGTCCGTGTGTGTCTGGGTGTGTCTGTGTGTGTGTCTGCGTGTGTCTGTGTGTGTCTGGGTGTATCCGTGTGTGTCTGGGTGTGTCTGTGTGTGTCTGGGTGTGTCTGGGTGTGTCGTTGTGTGTGTCTATCTCCGACGTTTTGCCACAATTCTGGTTCTCGCCTGATGATGCTGGTTGTTGTAATCGCGACCAACACCTCCTCCTCCTCAAACTGATAACGTTGTGTGTTTATGCTCCAACACGCAACTGGTTAATGCTGAAGTAGTCACTCATTGGCACGTGACAAACCCTGCCACTAATTGGCTGTGTACAGTGCTGCCGGGTTTCACGACGCGTTCATATTCACGCGATGTCATCCAATGGCAACACCAACAACCTCGATTACGAATAAATAACATCCATAATATCGTTTGTTTTGGGTTAGATCGCGTAAATATATAAATGTCTCGTTCAACCCGCTAGCATCCACAATACGGCCAATTAGTAAGGTTTGTGATATTAACAGAATGTGTTGCCAATTCGTTGCTAGTACAGCACACCGGCGTGTTGGAGAGCAAATCCACAACCTACTACAATGTTGTGGATTTGCTCCACAATGCACCGCTGTTGCTGTACTAGTACCGAGTTGACCACGTTCTGTTCACGTGACAAACCCTGTCACTAATCGACTGTGTCGGGTGGTGGCGAGTTTAACGACGCAACATTTGTATATTTGCATGGATCTGACCCAGCTAAAACCCCGATTGTGGATCATGTTGCTCGCGGAAGCGTGGCGCTTGTGTTGAACAAAATCCAGCGCGCAAATGAAGCCGCTCGAGGTGGGGCACGTGCCACGCCCCCTCCTGTGACGTCACATTGCGTGATGTCACAGCGCGTGACATCACCGCATTGCGGTTCCCGCCCCCCCCTCCGGGAGGGTGGTTGTGACACGTGCTCCCCCATGGCCTCTGCGTGGATTTAAAAAAATAAAAAAATATTCCCTGCCACGGGACGTTCTCAATGGGGGGGTGGACCTGTTCTCATGCACGTAGATACGTATTGTATGTGCACCTAGCCTGGCACAAGCGACGTGGTGATGTCACGGCACTTAGTGACGAACTGCGGCGGTTATGCATTAGATTGTACGATTGTTACGTTTTAACTTAGGCCAACTCTTAAGTGATACACGGCCATATTTGTGTTTCAAGACCCTCCACCACCTGACGCTGAGTGAGTGGATGAGTGAGTGGGTGGCTGAGTGAGTGGCTGAGTGGGTGGCCGAGTGAGTGGGTGGCCGAGTGAGTGAGTTATCGGGTGAGTGGCCGAGTGAGTGAGTTATTGGGTCAGTGGGTGGCCGAGCGAGTGAGTTATGGGGTGAGTGCGTTGGCGAGTGAGTGAGTCGGTGAGTGGGTGGGTAAGTGGATGGGTGAGTGGGTGAGTGGGTGAGTGGGCGAGTGGGTGAGTGAGTGAGTGAGTGGGCGCGTGGGTGAGTGAGTGGGTAGGTGAGTGGGTGAGTGGGCGAGTGGGTGAGTGGGTGAGCGGGTGAGTGGGTGAGCGGGTGAGTGAGTGAGTGGGTGGATGAGCAGGTGAGTGGGCGAGTGGGCGGGTGAGCGGGTGAGTGGGTGAGTGAGCGGGTGACTGGGTGAGCGGGCGGGTGAGTGGGTGAGTGGGTGAGTGGGTGGGTGAGTGGGTGAGTGGGTGAGCGGGTGAGCGGGCGGGTGAGTGGGTGAGTGGGTGAGTGGGTGAGTGAGTGGGTGAGTGGGTGAGTGGGCGAGTGAGCGAGTGAGTGGGTGAGTGGGCGAGTGAGCGAGTGAGCGGGCTAGTGGGCGAGTGGGTGAGTGAGCGAGTGTGCGGGTGAGTGGGCAAGTGGGTGAGCGGGCGAGTGGGCGAGTGGGCGAGTCGGTGAGTGAGTGGCTCAGTAGGTGCTTTTGGCCGCGATTTTCCAGTGTGGTGGAAGGTTTCATTACTCAAATTCTAACAATGGTTGCTAACAGCCACCTTGTTGGACGCGTTACGCCTGTTATCTGTAACAACAGTGCATTGTTATTATTACTACTTGTTAAACTCCAGTATAATAAAAATGTAGATTATATTCATTACATATGTTTCATTCCACTTTTGTTGATGATGGTGGTAGTGGTTGATGTTGGTGGTGGTGATGATGATGATGGTGATGATGGTGGTGATGGTGGTGATGGTGGTGATGGTGGTGGTAGTGATGATGGTGATGATGGTGGTGATGGTAGTGATGGTGATGGTGGTGGTAGTGATGATGATGGTGGTGATGGTGGTGATGGTGGTGATGGTGATCGTGGTGATGGTGGTGATGGTGGTGGTAGTGATGATGGTGATGGTGGTGATGGTGGTGATGGTGGTGATGGTGGTGGTGATGGTGGTGGTAGTGATGGTGATGAAGGTGGTAGTGATGGTGATGATGGTGATGATGGTGATGGTGGTGATGGTGGTGGTAGTGATGGTGATGGTGGTGATGGTAATGGTGGTGGTAGTGATGATGGTGATGGTGGTGATGGTAGTGATGGTGGTGGTAGTGATGGTGGTGGTATTGATGGTGATGGTGGTGATGGTGGTGGTGGTAGTGATGGTGATGGTGGTGATGGTGGTGATGGTGGTGATGGTGATGGTGGTGGTAGTGATGGTGATGGTGGTGATGGTGGTGATGGTGATGATGGTGATGGTGGTGGTAGTGATGGTGGTGGTAGTGATGGTGATGGTGGTGATGGTGATGGTGGTGATGGTGATGGTGGTGATGGTGATGGTGGTGATGGTGGTAGTGATGGTGATGATGGTGATGGTGGTAGTGATGGTGATGGTGATGATGGTGATGGTAGTGATGGTAGTGATGGTGGTGATGGTGGTGATGGTGGTGGTAGTGATGGTGATGGTGGTGATGGTGGTGGTAGTGATGGTGATGGTGGTGATGGTGGTGATGGTGGTGGTGGTGATGGTAGTGATGGTGATGATGGTGGTGGTGGTGATGGTGGTGGTGATGGTGATGGTGGTGATGGTGATGGTAATGATGGTGGTGGTGATGGTGGTGATGGTGGTGATGATGATGGTGATGATGGTGATGGTGGTGATGGTGATGGTGGTGATGGTAGTGATGGTGATGATGGTGGTGATGGTGGTGATGGTGGTGGTAGTGATGGTGATGGTGGTGATGGTGGTGATGGTGATGGTGGTGATGGTAGTGATGGTGGTGATGGTGGTGATGATGATGGTAGTGATGGTGATGATGGTGATGGTGGTGATGATGGTGATGGTGGTGGTAGTGATGGTGATGGTGGTGATGGTGATGGTGGTGATGATGGTGATGGTGGTGATGGTGAAGATGGTGATGGTGGTGATGGTGATGATGGTGATGGTGGTGATGGTGATGGTAGTGATGGTGATGGTGGTGATGGTGGTGATGGTGATGGTGGTGATGGTGGTGATGGTGAAGGTGGTGATGGTGATGATGGTGGTGGTGGTGATGGTGGTGGTAGTGGTGATGGTGATGGTGGTGATGGTGGTGATGGTGGTGATGGTGAAGGTGGTGATGGTGGTGAAGGTGGTGATGGTGGTGGTAGTGATGGTGGTAGTGATGGTGATGATGGTGAATGGTGGTGGTAGTGATGGTGTTGATGGTGATGGTGGTGATGGTGGTGATGGTGATGGTGGTGATGATGGTGATGGTGGTAGTGATGGTGATGTTGATGATGGTGGTGATGGTGATGGTGGTGATGGTGATGATGGTGATGGTGGTGATGGCGGTGATGATGGTGATGGTGGTGATGGTCATGGTGGTGATGGTGGTGGTGATGGTGGTGGTGGTGATGATGGTGGTGATGGTGATGATGGTGGTGATGGCGATGGTGGTGGTGATGGTGATGGTGGTAGTGATGGTGATGGTGGTGATGATGATGGTGGTGATGGTGTTGATGGTGAAGGTGGTGATGGTGGTGGTGGTGGTGATGGTGGTGATGGTGAAGGTGGTGATGGTGGTGATGGTGATGGTGGTGGTGATGGTGATGATGGTGATGATGGTGGTGATGGTGGTGGTGATGGTGATGATGGTGATGGTGGTAGTGATGGTGATGGTGGTGATGATGGTGGTGATGGTGTTGATGGTGAAGGTGGTGATGGTGGTGGTGATGGTGGTGATGGTGATGGTAGTGAAGGTGTTGATGGTGGTAGTGATGGTGATGGTGTTGATGGTGAAGGTGGTGATGGTGATGTTGATGATGGTGATGATGATGATGGTGGTGATGGTGGTGGTAGTGATGGTGGTGATGGTGGTGGTAGTGATGGTGATGGTGGTGATGATGGTGGTGATGGTGATGGTAGTGATGGTGTTGATGGTGAAGGTGGTGATGGTGATGGTGGTGATGGTGGTGATGGTGGTGGTGATGGTGGTGATGGTAGTGATGGTGATGGTAGTGATGGTGATGATGGTTGTGGTGGTGATGGTGGTGATGATGGTGATGGTGGTG